GATTTCTTTCATCAGTGTCTCATAGTTTTCTGAGTACATGTCTTTTACCTCCTGAGGTAGGTTTATTCCTAGGTATTTTATTCTTTTTGTTGAAATGGTGAATGGGAGTGTTTCCTTAATTTCTCTTTCTGATCTTTCATTGTTAGTGTATAGGAATGTAAGAGATTTCTGTGCATTAATTTTGTATCCTGCTACTTTACCAAATTCATATATTAGCTCTAGTAGTTTTCTGGTAGAGCCTTTAGTATTCTTTATGTATAGTATCATGTCATCTGCAAACAGTGACAGTTTTACTTCTTCTTTTCCAATTTGTATTCCTTTTATTTCTTTTTCTTCTCTGATTGCCATGGCTAGGACTTCCAAAACTATGTTGAATAATAGTGGTGAGAGTGGACATACTTGTCTTGTTCCTGATCTTAGAGGGAATGCTTTCAGTTTTTCACCATTGAGAATATGTTTGCTGTGGGTTTGTTGTATATGGCCTTTATTATGTTGAGGTAGGTTCCCTCTATGCCCACTTTCTGGAGAGTTTTTATCCTAAATGGTGTTGAATTTTGTCAAAATCTTTTTCTGCATCTAATGAGATGATCATATGGTTTTTCTCCTTCAATTTGTTAATATGGTGTATCACATTGATTGATTTGCATATATTGCAAGAATCCTTGCATCCCTGGGATAAATCCCACTTGATCATGGTGTATGATCCTTTTAATGTACTGTTGGATTCTGTTTGCTAGTATTTTGTTGAGGATTTTTGCATCTATGTTCATCAGTGATATTGGTCTGTAATTTTCTCTTTTTGTAGTATCTTTGTCTGCTTTTGGTATCATGGTGATGGTGGCCTCATAGAAGGACTTTGGGAGTGTTCCTTCCTCTGCAAATTTTTGGAAGAGATTGAGAAGGATGGGTGTTAGCTCTTCCTTTTCTAAATGTTTGGTAGAATTCACCTGTGAAGCCATCTGGTCCTGGACTTTTGTTTGTTGGAATATTTTTACCACAGTTTCAATTTCATTACTTTTGATTGGTCTGTTTGTATTTTCTATTTCTCCCTGGTTCAGTATTGGAAGGTTATACCTTTCTAAGAATTTGTCCATTTCATCCAGGTTTTCTATTTTTATTGGCACAGAGTTGCTTGTAGTAGTCTCTTGTGATGCTTTGTATTTCTGCAGTGTCTGTTGTAACTTCTCCTTTTTCATTTCTAATTTTATTGATTTGAGTCCTCTCCCTCTTTTTCTTGATGAGTCTGGGTAAAGGTTTATCAATTTTGTTTATCTTCTCAAAGAACCAGCTTTTAATTTTATTGATTGCTATTGTTTTCTTTGTTTCTGTTTCACTTATTTCTGCTCTGATCTTTTTGATTTTTTCCCTTCTACTAACTTTGGGTTTTGTTTGTTCTTCTTTCTTTAGTTCCTTTAGGTGTAAGGTTAGATGGTTTATTTGAGATTTTTCTAGTTTCTTGAGGTAGGCTTGTATTGGTATAAACTTCCCTCTTAGAACTGCTTTTGCTGCATCCCATAGGTTTTGGATCATCGTGTTTTCATTGCAATTTGTCTCTAGGTATTTTCTGATTTCCTCTTTGATTTCTTCAGTGATTTCTTGGTTATTTGGTAACGTATTGTTTAGCCTCCATGTGTTTGTGTTTTTTACGTTTTTTCCCTGTAATTGATTTATAATCTCATAGTGTTGTGGTCAGAAAAGAAGCTTGATATGATTTCAATTTTCTTAAATTTACCAAGGCTTGATTTCTGACCCAAGATGTGATCTATCCTGGAGAGTGTTCTGTGTGCACTTGAGAAGAAAGTGTAATCTGCTGTTTTTCGATGGAATGTCCTATAAATATCAATTAAATCTATCTGGTCTGTTGTGTCATTTAAAGCTTGTGTTTCCTTATTAATTTTCTGTCTGGATGATCTGTCCATTGGTGTAAGTGAGGTGTTCAAATCCCCTACTATTACTGTGTTACTGTCAATTTCCTGTTTTATAGCTGTTAGCAGTTGCTTTATGTATTGAGATGTTCCTACGTTGGGTGCATATATATGTATAATTGTTATATCTTCTTCTTGGATTGATCCCTTGATCATTATGTAGTGTCGTTCTTTGTCTCTTGTAACATTCTTTATTTTAAAGTCTATTTTATCTCATGTGAGTATTGCTACTCCAGCTTTCTTTTGATTTTCATTTGCATGGAATATGTTTTTCCATCCCCTCACTTTCAGTCTCTATGTGTCCCTAGGTTTGAAGTGGGTCTCTTGTAGACAGCATATATATGGGTCTTGTTTTTTTTGTTTTTAAAATTTATTTTATTTATTTATTTTTGGCTGCATTGGGTCTTTGTTGCTGCGCGCAGGCTTTCTCTAGTTGTGGTGCACAGGGGCTCCTCTTCTTTGCTGTGCATGGTTTTCTCATTGCGGTAGCTTCTCTTGTTGCAGAGCACGGGCTCTAGGCACACGGGCTTCAGTAGTTGTGACACTCGAGCTCTAGAGCACAGGCTCAGTAGTTGTGGTGCACGGGCTTAATTGCTGTGTGGCATGTGGGATCTTCCTGGACTAGGGCTCGAACCCGTGTCCCCTGCATTACCAGGCGGATTCTTAACCACTGCGTCACCAGGGAAGCCATGGGTCTTATTTTTGTATCCATTCAGTGAGCCTGTGTCTTTTGGTTGGAGCATTTATTCCCTTCACGTTTAAGGTAATTATCGATATGTATGCTCCCATTACCATTTTCTTAATTGTTATGGGTTTGTTTTTGTAGGTCCTTTTCTTCTCTTGTGTTTCTCACTTAGAGAAGTTCCTTTAGCATATGTTGTAGAGCTGGTTTGGTGGTGCTAAATTCTCTTAGCTTTTGCTTGTCTGTAAAGCTTTTGATTTCTCTGTCGAATCTGAATGAGATCCTTGCGGGGTAGAATAATGTTGCTTATAGGTTCTTCCCTTACATCAGTTTAAATATATCATGCTACTCACTTCTGGCCTGTAGAGTTTCTGCTGAGAAATCAGCTGTTGACCTTATGCAAGTTCCCTTGTATGTTATTTGTCATTTTTCCCTTGTTGCTTTCAATAATTTTTCTTTGTCTTTATTTTTTGTCAATTTGATTACTGTTTGTCTCGGTGTGTTTCTCCTTCAGTTTATCCTACCTGGGACTCTCTGTGCTTCCTGGACTTGGGTGGCTATTTCCTTTTCTATCTTAGGGAAGTTTTCGACTGTAATTTCTTCAAATATTTTCTCGGGTCTTTTCTCTGTTTCTTCTCCTTCTGGGACCCCTATAATGCGAATGTTGTTGTGTTTAATGTTGTCCCAGAGGTCTTTTAGGCTGTCTTCATTTCTTTTCATTCTTTTTTCTGTATTCTGTTCCTCAGCAGTGAATTCCACCATTCTGTCCTCCAGGTCATTTATCCGTTCTTCTGCCTCAGTTATTCTGCTATTGATTCCTTCTAGTGTATTTTTCATTTCAGTTATTGTATTGTTCATCTCTTTTTGTTTGTTCTTTAATTCTTCTAGGTGTTTGCTCTTTAATTCTTCTACGTCTTTGTTAAACATTTCTTGCATCTTCTCGATCTTTGCCTCCATTCTTTTTCCGAGGTCCTGGATCATTTTCACTATCATTATTCGGAATTCTTTTTCTGGAAAGTTGTCTATCTCCACTTTATTGTTTTTCTGGGGTTTTATCTTGTTCTTTCATCTTGTACAAAGCCCTCTGCCTTTTCATTTTGTCTGTCTCTCTGTGAATGTGGTTTTCCTTCCACAGGCTGGAGAATTGTGGTTCTTGCTTCTGCTGTCTGCCCTCTTACCATCTTGGTTTCTTTCCTGATTTTGATGGAATATTAATTCTCCACTAGGTCCTTAAGAAAGCGTGTTTAGAAGCTAAATTTTTGGAGACTTTGTCTCTGTTAAAAAATGTCTAAATTCTATTATAACCATTTATTATCTGGATATAGCATTCAAAATTGAAAGGTAATCACTTAAAATTTTTTTCTTATTTTTCAAAACAGAAATTACATGCTCATGAACCTAAATTTTAAAGGTTCAAGAGATTATAGAGAAAGTGTGTCTAACATGAGGGTGGTTTTTGGTATGATGCAACTGTTCTGTATCTGATTATAATGGTGATTACACCAATTTCTACATGCCTTAAAATCCATAGAACCGCACAACAAAAGAAACAAGTTCAATTTGTATGTGTGATAGTTTAAAAAATGAAAAGTAAATTGAGAGAATTTAAAAGTACAAAAAGGTAGAGAGGGCTTCCCACGTGGCGCAGTGGTTAAGAACCTGCCTGCCAACGCAGGGGACACGGGTTCGAGCCCTGGTCCGGGAAGATCCCACATGCTGCAGAGCAACTAAGCCCATGTGCCCCAGCTACTGAGCCTGCGCTCTAGAGCCCATGAGCCACAACTACTAAAGCCCGCGTGCCTAGAGCCCGTGCTCCGCAACAAGAGAAGCCACGGCAATGAGAAGCCCGCGCACCGCAAAGCTGCAACTGGAGAAAAGCCCACACGCAGCTACAAAGACCCTGCACAGCCATAAATAAATAAATAAATAAATAGATAGATAGATAGATAGATAGATAGATAGCAAAAAGAAGTTTCTTTCTTTCTCTCTCCCTTAGCCTTCCAGCTTTAAACATCTAAACGTTCAGGGGTAAATCAGGCAGAATTGAAAGGAACTTGACATATATTCACTACTATGTATAAAATAGATAACTGATGAGAAGCTACTGTATAGCACAGGGAATAGTACTTAATGTTCTGTGGTGACCTAAATGGGAAGGAAATGCAAAAACAGGGGATATATGTATACCTCTAGCTGATTCACTTTAATGTACAGCAGAAACTAGCACAACATCGTAAAGCAGCCATACACCAGTTAAAAATTAAAAAAGAAAAAAAGAACTTGGAACTGCGCAAGTACATTTGGAGAATGCTAAGATTACTACTCTTAGAATAGTTCTAAATATGTTATTAATCAAACCTGGCGCTAATTTATTAAAATTATTTCTCCTACAGTTGGCAAACATGAATTGACTGGGCATAAAGTTGCTGTGAAGATACTCAATCGACAGAAGATTCGAAGCCTTGATGTAGTAGGAAAAATCCGCAGAGAAATTCAGAACCTCAAGCTTTTCAGGCATCCTCATATAATTAAACTGTAAGATCTGATTGTATTAAATATAGTCATATCATTTTTTCATCATTTTTGTTAACCTTCTTAATCTGACAAGTGAGAAAGATGAGTGACATTGCTTTGGTCTGTTCCTGAGGGTTTTCAGATTTCTTCCTGTTCATGTATTTATCTAACCCCATTCATGGTCACTTAAGCCTAAGTTCACATTTTGCCCTTGTGATGATCAGATGTTATTTTTCTCATTTTCGGGACTGATGCCGTTCTGATAGATAACTTTCAGTGCCCCTATTGCTGTAGAACCAACAATGATTTGCTAGTAAAAACTCCTGCCCTCCAAATTTCCACATGATATCAGCTAGCCTCACTAGAGACCATAAAGTAGGGTCTCCACTCCCCCACACTGCTTATATCTGATAAAACAAGTAACAAATCATAGATTTTCAGGAATCCAAATCCAAATAATAGAATTTCAGGAATCCAAATTGCAAAAGGCAGTAATATTACCATTGTTTTACAGCTGACAATTGTAGGATCTACAGTTAAGTTATTTACTACTCAGCTTTATTATGCAGGCTATAAATTAAAACCATTTAGGCTTTTGTATTGAACTGGTGACACAAAATTTGTTTCACTCTCACCTCTTCTCATGTGTTGAGGTGCCATGGTTTTAAATACCATCCTTATGCTGACAGCCCTTAATATACATCTCCTGCTTTGAAACCTGTTCCCTGAATATGCACACTGCCTATTTTACATCTCCATTTGGGTGACCATGAGGCATGTGAAACTCGATCTCGCCCAAACTGAACCCTTTATTACCTTCTGGTGCTGGTCTTCCTGGTCTTTTCACCATCTCAGTTAATATCAGTTCCTCAGGGCAGAAACTTAGGAACTATCCTTAACTTTCCTATTTCTCTCACTTCCCAACCTCCATTCCATCCCTTCCTTCAAAAACTAAGATCTCATTGTAGTTCCTTCATTATCATCAACCCAGTGTGGGCCCCCTTCATCTTTCTCATGGACTACTGCAGTAGCCACCCTACTGCCCAGTCAGTTCTTCACATTGCTGCCATCAATTAAAGTTACCCTTTTACTTGGCCAGATCATGTGACTGCTTTGCTTAAAACCTTCAATAGCTTTCTTTCTCCTATAGAGTAAAAGCCAAAGCCTCATCATGACTTTTAAGGTTCTGTGTCCTCTGCTGTCCAGTTACCTCTTTGACCCCACATCCTGTTTCTCTCTCCCAGCTCACTCTGCTCTAGTCTTCCTACCATTGCTCAAATGCGCCAGGCAGGTTTCCCCCTGGGGGCCTTTGCACTTGCTGTTCCTCTGCCTGGTTCACCTTCTTCCTAGATAATGGCATAGTTTGTTCCCTGATTTCCATTAGGCTCTGCTTAAATGTTACTTTATCAGAGAGGCCTTCCTTGAATACCCTGTATGAAAGATTTCCCTTAGTTTTGCTTTGATTCTCTTCATAGCATGTTCCACCACCTGAGATACTGTTTTTTATTTAGTGTCTGTTTCTTGGCTTCTGGAAAATAAACTCCACGAGAGCAGAGAATTTGTTTTGTTCCCTGCAGTTTTCCCAGCGTCTAGCACAGTGCCTGGTGTATTATAGGTGCTTAGTAAACACTTACTGAATGAATGAATATACATGTTTTAATACTGGTAGATAATGTTTTCTCTCACCAGGTACCAGGTCATCAGTACACCATCTGATATTTTCATGGTGATGGAATATGTCTCAGGAGGAGAGCTATTTGATTATATCTGTAAAAACGGAAGGGTAAGCAGTTCTGATTTAATCCTGTGTATATTTTGTAATACCCCTGATCCCTTACTAGCATCAAAATAGCAGAAAGCAATTCTGTTAAGAGGTCTATTTTATAACCAGCTCCCTTGGTCTTATATTTGCCTAGAATCATAGACTATTTAGAGCTAAGAAGCATCTTAAAGATTATCTCCTTAGCCTACTTACACAGATATGGAAACCAAGAGTCACAGTTTATTTATTTATTTTTTTAAAAATTAATTTAATTTATTTATTTACTTTTGGCTGAATTGGGTCTTCATTGCTGCGCGTGGGCTTTCTCTAGTTGCAGCGAACAGGGGCTACCCTTCGTTGTGTGCGTGGGCTTCTCATTGCGGTGGCTCCTCTTGTTGCAGAGCATGGGTTCTAGGTGTATGGGCTTCTGTAGTTGTGACACGCGGGCTCAGTAGTTGTGGCTCGTGGGCTCTAGAGCACAGGCTCAGTAGTTGTGGTGCACGGGCTTAGCTGCCCCGTGGCATGTGGGATCTTCCTGGACCAGGGATTGGACCCATGTACCCTGCATTGGCAGGTGGATTCTTAACCACTGCTCCACCAGGGAAGTCCGTCATAGTTTATTTTTATTTATTTACTTTTTATATTTTGGTCATACTCTGTGGCACGTGGGATCTTAGTTCCCTGACCAGGGATCGAACCTGTGCCCGCTGCATTGGAAGCGCAGAGTCTTAACCACTGGACCACCAGGGAAGTCTGAGACTCACAGTTTATATATATGCTCAAGGTCACATAATTTATTAATGACAGAATTGGATTGAGACTCCAGAACTCACGATCTTCAGACTTTGCTTCTGGGGCATACAAATACTTTTAATATATATCTTAAATTATGTATGTAATCCTTAAAAAATATATTATTAAATACTTAAAGATCTAGGCCTTGCTAGTCAACCCTAGTCACATTTAAATTGCATTCATTTTTTGGTTTCAGAAATCTGATGTATCTGGAATAGTAAGAACAGGCTCCATGAAGGAGGTAGGAATTAGACTTAAGGAATTTAGAGTTGGAAGGAACTTTAGAAGACATTTTGAACAGTGTCTTAAGTTACAGATACAAAAACTGAACATTGACCCCTGCGCATACTTTTTCTTACACCCAGGGTATGTGGTATACAAAAACCTCTTTCTGGAAGAGCCATGTCAAGCACTGAGAAGCCAATTTTTTTCCCTCCCAATCTAACATTCTTTATATCATTCACTCATTTGTTCTATGTAGCATATCTTTACTTTCATCAAAATCATTAACCAAATTAATTTTGATTTTACCATTTCTTAACATGGTTCATTTCAATTTCAGGTATTCCACTTGTCTTTTCACTCCCTACTCCCTGCCCCCACAATCCCGCACAAATATCCTGCCTAGAAAAACGGAAACAGACACAAATTGAATTGGCATCTTGCTTTCTTATCTTTTGTTTTTCATGTCTTAATCATTTTGCTTTACATTATGGGGATTTTCCTCAATTTTATCTGTTGCATATTAAAATTCCAGCTGTTTTGTTTTGTTTTTTTTGCGGTACGTGGGCCTCTCACTACTGTGGCCTCTCCCGTTGCGGAGCACAGGCTCCGGACGTGCAGGCTCAGTGGCCATGGATCACGGGCCCAGCCGCTCCGCGGCACATGGGATCTCCCTGGACCGGGGCACGAACCTGTGTCCCCTGCATCGACAGGCGGACTCTCAACCACTGCACCACCAGGGAAGCCAGTTGTCTTTCTTTAAATAGCCTATTTTTGTTGTTGTTGTTCCACTGAGATAATAAATGTATCTGTCTGAGGATGACAATTAGTTTAAAATTTTTTTCTTCTTCTCTTCCCTGGATTGCTTCTGTACCTTCTCTGTTCCCTGCTCCCTGTTTTTTTCCTATTCATTTTATTGGTCTTTGTCTTTTGTGCATGACCCTTGCTCAGATACCTGGTGATTCTGGGTTGTCCACTCATATTTGAGAGTGAAATTCTAAATGCCAAGCTCATGAGGATGGAACTTATTAATTGGTGGGCCTTCCCATAGGTTGAATAGGTACGGACCTGTTTGTTTTACTAGGAAACACCAAATGTTAACAATTACAAATATTTTTCCTTGGATCAGAAAGTTGCTCCACAAGAAACCTTCCAGTTTCCTTGAGCGTGTTAGCTTAGCTGCCAGTGCTCTGCGAGCTAAATGGGGAAAGGCCCGCAAGCCTTACTGGTTAGTATGTTGACTTTCATTTTATCTCCATGTTTTCCTTCTGGTGCCTCATTCCTACTCTGGTGTCCTTGAGAACAGAGCTGGTTCAGCCTTATTAAAGAGTAAATCGTGGGTCTTATTCCCCAGTAAGGGTGAGCTTAAAACTTCTTTCTTCCATCAGTTGTCCTGTTTTCAGTCCACTTCTCACTTCTACCTTCAGAAATTCCCAACACTTCCAATATCTAAGCCCTCCCAGGAGTCTGCATGCAGATGAGTTTATCATTGATTTCCACCCCTAAAGGCTTATTAGATTTCAGCTTTTTGTGGTCGGCCAAGTCTTCATCACTGTTCATCTACTCTCTAGCTTAGTGACTCCTTGATTACTGCTGTCTGTTCTCTTGCTCTTTTGTCTTTATATGCTGTCATCTTAGTGATGTTTCAAGGAGTGGAGTACAAAGTTCCATCTGCCATGCTTAAATGGAAATATGCTTTGACTTTTCTAATCTTTCTTTGTAGACTTCCCCTCCTTGATCCTTTGTACTCTATTTATTATTAATAGAGTATAATTTTCATTTTTGTAGCCTATCTAGTTATTTTACCTCTTGTATTTTGCTTTATCAATTAAATTTTCTTCTCTTTCACATTTAGAACACATTCTTTTTTTCATTTAGTGTATTTGATATGAAGTCGTATTAAAAAATGAACCTATATTCCAGAAATAAAGGTATTAGATTGCTAATGCATTATTACTTTCTCTAGAGGAAGGGCATCTCTGAGTGCTTTGATAGTTTTAGTTTTGCTTTCAAAAGAAATTACTGGTTCATATTCCAGATTATCCATACCATTAAAGGTGTAGGAACCTGGTTTTAGAATGCTAATTTGTGACCTGTGGTAGAGAATTGCATATTAGAGTCCTTTGCCTAGAGAATTAATAGCTTATTTATGAAATATGACTTCTTGGGAGCAGGCATACCCAAGTAATGGCTTTCATTTATGGAAAAAACATCATAAAATAATAAAATATAGATAAATGGACAGAGAAGTTTTTAAAGAATATTTTTTAAAATGTAATTACAGCATAAGATGTAATTTTTCAGTAAGCATAGTAAAGATAAATGCTGTTATATTTTATAAAACAAATGAATTAAGGTTTTTCTTTTGTTAAAATTAAAACATCTTTTATTTCAGGAGATATAACATGGTTGCTTGCTAATTCATTAACACTGCTTAAATGTTGCTTTCTCATATAGTCCACAACAGTATTCCCCACCCCAGCGTAACTCTTTGTGCCCTTATCCTCCTTTGTTTTTCTTCAAAACACTCTTACTCCTTATATTTGATATTTATATGTTTATTGTCTATTTTCTTTAACTAGATTAGGGCCTTTTTTTAATTCATTGCTGTATCTTGAGTGTCTAAAACCGTGCATGGCACATTGAAGGTATTCAATAAATATTTGTTAAAGGAATCAAGGATTAAATATTTGTAATTTACAGGAGAAAACATGCCTACTTTCAGGTAGAAATTGAAATTATTTGAAATAGTGCATGAGATTAGGTGAAAAAAGTTATTATAGTCAAGAGAGTGATAATATTAGGAAGTTGAGTTACTGATTTGGGTTCTAAGACCCTCCTAGCATTTCCGTTTTATGCTGCCTATATCTCCTCCCCGTTTCAAAAGTATCTCATGAGTGAGGTTCATTTGGAAGGTTTCTTGCATTTTCACAGTTTTATAGGTTGGAAAATTATAGGTAGAATAATTTCTTTTGAAAGACACACGTTTAAGTTGCCTCTCTACTTTTCTTAGCTGGATGAAAAAGAAAGTCGGCGTCTGTTCCAACAAATCCTTTCTGGTGTGGATTATTGTCACAGGCATATGGTGGTCCACAGAGATTTGAAACCTGAAAATGTCCTGCTTGATGCACACATGAATGCAAAGATTGCTGATTTTGGTAAGGATATTTTTATAGTTTCATATATTCATTATGTTTAACAAACATCAGTAGGATTCTTCAGATAACTTTTGCTTTTATATAATAGACTGAGTATCCCAAAGTAGCATATCCTCACCATTTGTATATGAGCTACAAAAAGGAGTAAAAATAAGGAATTCTCTTAGCTTTATGTCTTTAAAATTGACTTTTATGACATAGGCAAACAATTTAAATTGGCAGCATTAGCGACATCACTTGAAAAGAGACCATTATTTGTGAAGGACCATTATTTAACTATTTGCTAAATAGTGTTATCAATAGAACACACTGTTTCCAGTGTGTTCTTCTGATCAAGTTATGGAGCAAGAGGAAAGAGACTGGGCTGGAGTTATTCAAACTTTGAAAGCCAGAAGGCAAACCATATGAACAAAATTATTTTTAAAAAAAGAAAGTAAAATATTTTAAATAGAAAAGCATAGTTTCAGCTTGAGGAAAATTTAATGAATTTATTTTTCCTTTATTTCTTATATAAATTGCCACTGACATTATTAAACCTAAGATAAAAATGAATATCTACAAGTCTCTTTTTTTAGTTTCATTTCAAATCAGAGGAGATACTTATATTTTCTTAAGTTTTGTATATGTTTATATATTTTAATCTATAGAGATTCACTAAATAGTGCCCAACAGCTCTGAGCTACTGAGTGTTTTTTTGTAACTGACTAAATTATTTGACTTTCTTATTCTTTAGTTGTCATTATTTTTTATACATTGTATTTTTGAGGAGGCAGAGTTTTCTTTTTTTCTTTTTTTTTTTGGCCGCACTGCGCAGCTTGCGGGATCTTAGTTCCCCCACCAGGGATTGAACCCGGGCCACAGCAGTGAAAGCACCGAGTCCTAACCACTGGACCACCAGGGAATTCCCGAGTTTTCTTTTTGTAGTAGAGCTATGAAGGAACTTTGATATTAAAAATTATTATTTTTTAAAAATTTTTATTTATATATATATTTTTGCGGTATGCGGGCCTCTCACTGTTGTGGCCTCTCCCGTTGCGGAGCACAGGCTCTGGACGCGCAGGCTCAGCGGCCATGCTCACGAGCCTAGACGCTCTGCGGCATGTGGGATCTTCCCGGACTGGGGCATGAACCTGTGTCCTCTGCATCGGCAGGCGGACTCTCAACCACTGCGCCACCAGGGAAGCCCTATTATATTTTTTTAAAGAATCAGAATGGAGGTTAATAGAAACTTTGAATTTTAATTCGGTTCTACATTTTTTTCTAGTAATTTCTATATTAATAAAACTTAAACATGCCCAGTTTATTGTATTAAGCAAAATAGCCAATAGCTTAATACATACTCATTAAACTCCAACAATGCACTAACTTTATATGTTGAAACAGATTACAGATTTTATGGCATAAAGGCAAAATATTTGGGAACAATAAAGACTATAGGATTCTGTTGAAGCAAAGAACAAAATGATGATTTATCACTTTAATGCAAACTCAATTTTATTGTTTAATGGAATTTTGTTTTTATTTTTGTTCTTGGGAAATCTTGAGCAGTGGATTTTGTGCATTTTCAGGTCTTTCAAACATGATGTCAGATGGTGAATTTTTAAGAACAAGTTGTGGCTCACCCAACTATGCTGCACCAGAAGTAATTTCAGGAAGGTAGTGTTTGCCACCTCCTCCCCGCCCAATATATTTGTAATTGTCTTCTTTTCCTAGACTTTGTTAGTCTATAGTGTAATATTCAATTCTATTGAAAGGAATTTAAAGCTTATTTTTTTCTTATCCAGAAGGTATTCTATTTTAAGAATAAAACATTATAAGTGAATAAGGATTAAGGACTCCACTTATTGAGGAGGATGTTGGTTTGCAAGTCAAAATTATATTAGTTAGATGAGAGTACTCTCGTTTTTTCCCCTGGTGGAAGAAACTGAAGGTTTAAAACTAGCAAGTTTTAAAGGTGAGACATTAAAAACTTGAAATATCTAGTAGTAAGAAATAGTGTACTATTTGCTTAGATGAAGAATTAAAAGTGTAATGGGTAGCTTTAATTTTTCAAATTAGCTTTAGCTTTTACGATAACGTGCCTTGGGGAATTGGACTGAAGTATTGATAAAGTCCTCAGATTTTATTTTTCATTCTTTAAATCTTCTAGAGACTGAAATATTTTAAGAATTCTAATCTCCCAATTTGCTAACCGCCAGCATTGAGAACATGAGGATCTTAGTATAGGGCAGCTTTTCGGATAGTTTAGATGACAGGAAAATTTAATTTTTTGAAGAGTAACTGTTCTTCACTATACTACTGAAAGTGAAAACAAAGAAGCTAAAGTTTGTTTACTAGTTTTTATAATTAACTTTTAATAACTTTTCATTCAAACCATGTTTCTTTGTTTGAATGTCTTACATCCTGATTAATTTAGAATGCATAAATAGAGTAGTATTTTCTTTCTATTTTCATAAGCTTGCTTGCCTAGACTGCTCAGAGAAATTATATTTGTGTTAAGGCATGGTTATGAGTAAGGCAGAAATATCTAATTTTAGATTTATCGTAAGTTCATCATTACCTTTTTATATTAACTTAATGTTTAAATTATTATTTCATGTGGGTTGTCTAATTATTTGGGGAAGAAAACAATTTAGGACCTGGATACTGGGGGCAGTGTTAATTAAATAAACAAAAAGAAATGTAATTGTGCATATATGTAATGGGCCATTACTGAAGTCTAATTTTCCCAGTTTGCATAAGGTCTTTCTGTGAGGTCTAGATGTATGGAAACTTTTACTTTCAAAATAGTATATATTGATCAGTTCAATAATTTGACCAATTTAAAGAAATCCTTTCCCTGAAGCCAGACTTTGAATGTGTTATCTAATTAGTCAGTAGCTAGTTAAGTCAGTGGGTTACAGTGTATTGCAAATAAGAGTTTAAAATCTGCGAATTAGTTAGCTGGGCTTCATTCTACAGCCTCAGGCCCCTTTTACCTTGGTATGAGGTCTCGGGTTATTTCGGAGAGTGGCTTTAAAGTCAGAACATTCTCACTTGATGGAAGATTACTTAATCTCTCCTCTGTAACCAAAAAACAATGGTTTTAAATTCAGTAATGATATGTTTGTTCAAAGTTTGGCCCTATTGATTGGATATCATGAGGACCCTTGTGAGGTAGTATGGACAGAATTTTAGCTATAGTTTGTAACTTAAAAAAATTCTTAATTTTTGTTTTCAAAGATAATACTGATAGAATTAGTATAGAATCTGTATGTGTAGTACACAGCAGTGACTTATAGAAACCATATTCTGACTAATAATCCTTTATGAAGTATCTATATTTAAAATGATTAATTGATTTACTCTTTAAGTTACTAATGATTGTTTAATCCAATTGATATTTCCTGTTACAGATTGTATGCTGGTCCAGAGGTAGATATATGGAGCAGTGGGGTTATTCTCTATGCTTTATTATGTGGAACACTTCCATTCGATGATGATCACGTGCCAACTCTTTTTAAGAAGATATGTGATGGGATCTTTTATACCCCTCAGTATTTAAACCCTTCTGTGATTAGCCTTTTGAAACATATGCTGCAGGTGGATCCCATGAAGAGAGCCACAATCAAAGATATCAGGTGATAAAGCAACTTGATTATCAGATCTAATAGTATCAGTGATATAAGTGAAAGAAAATTTTGCAGAACAGTATGTACAATGTAATCCTGTTTTTATGTTAAAAATAGTGTATAGACTCATTTATTTTATTTTGATATTTAAGAACACATACTAACCTGGCTGCTTTAGGGAAGTAAGATTGGTAGGAGGAAGGGCTTTCACTTTTTTGCTTTTGTTTCTTTATTTCTTTTGAAATTGTAGCAGTGAACATTATATTACTTTTTTTTTATTCCATACATCTACAAAGTTGCTTTAATGAAATTCCGAATACAATATTTTTTATTAAAGTAAATGTGTATACTGTAACTAAAATAGAGGGGAATTCACTCTTAGCTAAGTATTGAATAATATACTTGGGGTTCAGTAAGGAGAATATAATCTCTTCTAGGCATTTCAAACAGGATAATATCTGATCAGAAAAATAGGTGCTTACAAAATACGGTGGAGGAGTTAAAGTCAGAAGTGGGGGAAGGGTGCTTTGATCTGTCAGTTTTGTCACTCCTCACTAGTTCTTAGGACACCAGTAAGTTACTTTTTTTTTTTTTAACTTTTTTAAAAATTCAAACAGAAAGTCACAAAAATTATAATCATCCTCATCAGTTCACTCAGTCCCATGTAATTTTTTTTTTTCATCTTGATCTTTTGTTAGCACTTTTATGAATTCATCAGTTTTCCATTAGAGTTCTGAAAATGCTTATTCATTCAGTTCAGCAGTATAGTCAGTTACCAGAAACCTGTACTTGTCAGTGTATTACTTTTTTTTTTTTTTTTTTGCGGTACGCGGGCCTCTCACTGTTGTGGTCTCTCGCGTTGCGGAGCACAGGCTCCGGACGCGCAGGCTCAGCGGCCATGGCTCACGGGCCCAGCCGCTCCGCGGCATGTGGGATCTTCCAGGACCGGGGCATGAACCCGTGTCCCCTGCATCGGCAGGTGGACTCTCAACCACTGCACCACCTGCGAAGCCCAGTGTATTACTTTTTAATTTAAAAAAAGAGCTAATAAAAAGGACCCTGGTTGGATATTAGATTTGGTAGTGATTCTTTAAGATTTTCTATAGTATGCTTCATGTTTGACTTTTACATATTCTCATGGGGACTAATATTTTTTCGTAGTAAATTTCTGTGTTGCTATTTGAGTTCTGATCTTATAAATTATTGTATTTTCCCCTTTTGTTCATCTCAGGGAATGAGAAAATTTTAATTCAATCAATGACATGTTTGTTTTTGTAGTAGTATACATTGAATTACATATGAAATTACTGTTTTGTAGGTAAAAAAGTCCATCAGTTTTACCAGTTACATATGGTTCCACGGAATAGTTTAAATAAGGCAAAAGCGATGATGACAAATCTCCTTCTCAAATTTGGGCAGGTCATTTCTGATGAAGATTTTTTTAAAAACTGCAAACTTTGTTTCTTCTACCATCATTTTTCTTTCCTTTTTTTCCCTTATGGAAATTTCTCTTTTGGTCTTCTGACGGCTAGACAGCACACTTATCTGAGATGGAGGGCGAAGGAAGAAAGAAATCAGACGTATATCTGGGAATAGTAAAGAACAAAGCATTAGGATAATGAAGAAGAAAGAAAGATCATATGTAGAACTTAAAGCTTGATTCCCAAAATAGATAACTAATAAGGACCTACTGTATAGCACAGGGAACTCTATTCAATACTATGTAATGACTTATATGGGAAAAGAATCTAAAAAGGTGGATATATGTATATGTATAACTGGATTCACTGTGCTGTACAGCAGAAAGTAACACAACATTGTAAATCAATTATATTCCAATTAAAAAAAGAAGAAAAGAAAAAAGCTTCATTCCTTTCCATTTACTCCATATGCTGCAGACTAGCTAAAAAACAGACTGTGAGTGGCGGGGCATGACTTTACCACTAGAGGAGAAGGACTAGTCATTCTGTAAAATTTATATTTCAGACTATCTTAGTGAGAGGTGCTTTTTCTTGTGTTTTACATGTTTTTTCCAATTTAAATGAAATATGTGACAATTGGAAAAGACTTGGAAAACACGAAAAAAATTAGAGAAGAGAATTAAAGTGATTTTTAATTCCATTACCCAGAATATAATCATTGTTCTTTTGGGTGTTTTCCTCTCTTAATGTTTTTAGTTTTAGCATATTTTTTTTTACATAGTTCAAGTCAAAAATATCCTTTTATATATGAAGTTAGGAAATCCTCAGTTCCTTCATTAAAATAAGGGGATATTATCTTCACAGAGTTGTTTGAAAATGAGGTGAGATAATATATATGAAGTGTTTAGCCTAAAATCTACCACATAGTAAGCACTCAATGAATAACAGTTGTCTATTTTTGTTGTTGTTATATATTTTGTCACTTAACATTATATCCAAAGAGTATTATAATGAATCCACAGACTAATTTTGTTCTCTTTCTGAGCTGGAAATAACATGGTCTTTGCCATTGCCATTTGTTCCAAAACTTTAAAGTGTAGACACTTTGTTTCTGGTTGCTCCAGCAGTGTTTTCTCCCTCTTAAAATCAGAGGAAGGCTGGAGAATTTCCCTTAACATATACAATGAAATGTGAGCCAGAAGAGGAAAATCTCAGTTTTAAAAAAATGATAGGGCTTCCCTGGTGGCGCAGTGGTTGAGAGTCCGCCTGCCGATGCAGGGGACACGGGTTCGTGCCCCAGTCCGGGAAGATCCCACATGCCACGGAGTGGCTGGGCCCGTGAGCTATGGCCGTTGAGCCTGTGCGTCTGGAGCCTGTGCTCCGCAACGGGAGAGGCCACAACAAGTGAGAGGCCCGCGTACCGCAAAAAAAAAAAAAAATAATAATAATAATACAGTATGAGTATAAATATAAATGAATTCATATCCTAAATTCCCCCAAACTGTTACTTTCAGTCTCATCTCTCCTCAAAGTCCTTCTGACCCCTGCCATTTTCCCTCAGGGAACATGAATGGTTTAAACAGGACCTTCCAAAATATCTCTTTCCTGAGGATCCATCATATAGTTCAACCATGATTGATGATGAAGCCTTAAAAGAAGTATGTGAAAAATTTGAATGCTCAGAAGAGGAGGTTCTCAGCTGCCTTTATAACAGAAATCACCAGGACCCTTTGGCAGTTGCCTACCACCTCATAATAGACAACAGGAGAATAATGAATGAGGCCAAAGATTTTTACTTGGCAACAAGCCCACCAGATTCTTTTCTCGATGATCACCACTTGACCCGGCCCCATCCTGAAAGAGTACCATTCTTGGTTGCTGAAACACCAAGGGCACGCCATACCCTCGATGAATTAAATCCACAGAAATCCAAACACCAAGGTGTAAGGAAAGCAAAATGGCATTTGGGAATTAGAAGTCAAAGTCGACCAAATGATATCATGGCAGAAGTTTGTAGAGCAATTAAACAACTGGATTATGAATGGAAGGTAAGAAAGAAAGAGCATTCTGATTATTAGCACATTTGACAAACCTGTAGTCTATATAATGTTTTATAGAAGAATTCCTTTTGACTTTGTTTTTCTCCATACCATATGCTAGGTTGTAAACCCATATTATTTGCGTGTTCGAAGGAAGAATCCTGTGACAAGTACATTCTCCAAAATGAGTCTACAGTTATACCAAGTGGACAGTAGAACATACTTATTGGATTTCCGTAGTATTGATGGTATGTACGTCACACAGAACAACATAGATGACATATTAGACCTTTTTACCTAATTTGGCATTTTAGTAAATCTTTGATTCTTTTGAAGCTTCTTGAATTGTTCCTAGTAATTCAATAGCAAAAGAACATAGAATATAAGATTTTGTGCCTTTGTTGACGTGAACATTTGTGTATCTTGTGAATAGTTTATTGTCCTTTTAAGATTATCTTCTAAAATCCTTAAAGCCTGATACAGCCTGATCCTAAAGTGATAGTTTCTGCTACATTTCTGTTTTTTGTAGTTCATTTTGGTAAGATAAAATATTTTATTTAGAATAAATGTTGACTTATAGTAAATGGTGCAAAATCATACCATGGTTTGAAATGTACATTAATTCAGATCTCCCATGCATATACACTATTTTTTTTTTTTTTTTTTTTTTTTTGCGGTACGCGGGTCTCTCACTTCTGTGGCCTCTCCCGTCGCGGAGCACAGGCTCCGGACGCGCAGACTCCGCGGCCATGGCCCATGGACCTAGCCGCTCCGTGGCATGTGGGATCTTCCCGGACAGGGGCACGAACCCATGTCCCCTGCATCGGCAGGCAGATTCTCAACCACTGTGCCACCAGGGAAGCCCCGACTCTTAAAACTAATTTACCTTATCTACTAAAAAGCCTGATGGAACACATTTGACTCATAATTCAAATAAATATCAATAATAATTCTACCCCAGCATTATGAAAGGCTATAGCTGTGTGTGTGTGTGTGTGTGTGTATAAACGTTCTCTCACAAACAGAACCTTTTTTAAAAAAATAATTATTTTTGGCTGCATTGGGTCTTCGTTGCTGCGCGCGGGCTTTCTCTAGCTGCAGCAAGCAGGGGCTACTCTTCATCGTGGTGCACGGGATTCTCACTGTGGTGGCTTCTCTTGTTGCGGAGTGCGGGCTCTAGGAGTGCCGGCTTCAGTAGTTGTGGCACGTGGGCACAGTAGCTGTGGCTCGTGGGCTCTAGAGCACAGGCTCAGTAGTTTTGGCACACGGGCTCAGTAGTTGTGGCTTGTGGGCTCTAGACAGCAGGCTCAGTAGTTGTGGCGCACGGGCTTAGTTGCTCTGCAGCATGTGGGATCTTCCAGACCAGGGCCTGAACCTGTGTCCCCTGCATTGGCAGGTGGGTTCTCAACCACTGCGCCACCAGGAAAGCCCCCCAGAACCTTTAATTAAGTAGAAGTTTATGGCAATTCTTCATTGGCCAAATCAATTGAATTAAGATATGTTGCCACTTTTGTTCATTTAAGATTATATGGAATTATTAGATGAGATTTACCTGTGAATTTTTTGTCTTCTTTGTAAACTCAAAGATAGTACCTACATAGTATCAGAAAGACACAGTTTTGAGCTATGATATGTTGGCTAAACCTGTTTGTCTATGTCTAGATGGTATTTTTCTTCTAACACTTACTAACGCAGTCTGAGATACAGAATGGGTTTTATTTTTTTCCATTATATTTGGATTAAATTCATGAACCTTGGGGCTTCCCTGGTGGCGCAGCGGTTCAGAGTGCACCTGCCGATGCAGGGGACAGGGGTTCGTGCTCTGGTCCGGGAGGATCCCACGTGCCGCGGAGCTGCTGGGCCGGTGAGCCATGGCCGCTGAGCCTGCGCGTCCGGTCCCTTTGCAGAGCAACGGGAGAGGCTGCAACAGTGAGAGGCCCGCAAACTGAAAAAAAAAAAAAAAAAAATCATGAATCTTAGGTTTATTAGTACCTGGGTTTACCAATTGAACGGACATTTACTGTTTTTATATTGTGTTCCCAACTTAGGTTTTCCTTGATTTTTGTTCATTGGAATTGTTGTTCTTTTATAAGATCTTAAATCAAATATGAAGACAAAGTGGGAGAATGAAGAGCACCAAGATGAGAGTTAGGAGACTTGGGTTCTAGATTTACCTCTCTGTTCATTTGTCACTTAACTCTTAAGGGGTTTATGTTTTCTTATCAATAAAATGAGGAGTTAAATGAGATGATTTCCAGGGTTGAAATTTTAAGTGCATTTATTCTATGATTTTAATATAGAAAGACTGACTTTTATTGCTAGGGAATGATGTTTATTAAGCCTCATGATTAGTTTCTTGGGCTCTCTTAATCCTGGATTGCAAGACTGATGAGTAGCCAAATATGTACCCAATCTTAATAAGTCATTAGGGGAATGCATTGCTGTGTGTAAAAAAGGCAAGTGGCATAATACAGATTCATTGCTTCTATTTTAGGAGGTATTCAAAATAAACATGCTCTTGATAGCTGGTCAGTGATCTCACTTAAAAGAAGCAAATTAAATACTATTAAAATTTTCGGGAGGGTGTCATGGATTATAATAAATTGAATTTTTTTTTTTACCCAGAGGAAATTACTGAAGCCAAATCAGGGACTGCTACTCCACAGAGATCGGGCTCAGTTAGCAACTATCGAGCTTGCCAAAGGAATGATTCAGATGCTGAGGCTCAAGGAAAATCCTCAGAAGCTTCTCTTACCTCATCTGTAACGTCACTTGACTCTTCTCCTGTTGACTTAACTCCAAGACCTGGAAGTCACACAATAGAATTTTTTGAGATGTGTGCAAATCTAATTAAAATACTTGCACAGTAAACCTAAAACTTTGCTTATTTCTTTGATAGCAATAAGCATGCATAATAAATCATAGCCAAATGCTTCCATTTATAATCAAGCTATACATAATTATAACTGAGGGTTGGCCTTTCGGAATGCAGTTTGCACAGGGACTGGAACATGATTAATAGTTAAAAGCATAATGTGCAGAAATGAATTAAGATAATTTTGTTCATTGTTCAGTAGGCATATAGAATAATATAATATACACAATGAATTATAGTTCTCTCAGGCTCACTTGATTTTTGGCTATTTTATATTTAGTGTATACAGGGCTTTGTCAAATATTAATTTACCATAAAGGCCTTCATATATTAATTATGTGTTGATGTGTTATATATTTGCTTCATAAATTTATTCAATAAATATTTGCCTAGAATCCCCAGAGAACTTTATAGGTGATTTTGTTTTCTGGGCTCCTTAAATAGCAAGTATCTTCAACAGTAGGGACAGCCTGGATGATTCTTCCATATCCCCTCCTTAATATTCTTATTATTCTGTAGTATATGGTAAGTCACCTTAAAGATATTGGACACATTTAAATTTTTTTCTTTCGTTTGTTAAGTCCAAAAACACACAGAACTTATATATTCAGATACTCTAGGCACTAAGTTTAATTTTACAATTTGTCCCACTATATTCTGTACATATATTGCTCTTTTTGTCACAAGAGCTGTGTTGCATATACTGTAAATAAATCATGCTGGTTTTGCCAATATCACAAAGTCCTCTGCTCATCATGTCAGTCAGTATTAAATGTATGCAAAAATTTCTAGTCATTCAATCATGTATCTTTTAAATTGATTCAGTGCATAGAACATGTCTTGCAAACTATTTAAATACTCAGATATGACTTTTTTTCCTAGACTTCATTATGGACATTTTTTAAAAGAAAAGTTGAAAGGCTGTAAGGTGATCACATGTGTATCTACCACTTAGATTCAACATTTGTTAACATTTTGCCATATATGCTTTATCTATATCTGTATATAGATACAGTTATATATATATGTGTGTGTGTGTGTGTGTGTGTATATGCTTTTTTCCCCTGAACCATTTGGATTTTGCAGATATATTCATCACCCCTCAACACTTAAAGCATCTCCTAAAAAAATGATGACATTCTCCTAAAAAAACCCATAATACCATTAAAAATTAATAATTCTCTAATGCCATCTAATCATGCATATTTAGATTTCCCCTGTTGTACTACAAATTTATTTCAAACCAGGCTCCAATTAATGTTTATACATTGCATTTGGTGTCTCCTTCATCAACTATTACTTTATTATTGTTTTGATAAAATATGGAACAGATCAGTTAGTTCTTCTAAATAGTAACATTTGCTTTGGATTTTAATTACTTTTTAAAAAGTAGCATTATGGAAACTGCCTAAAGTTGCTTAATCTTCCTAAGAACTCTGATTTATATTTTCTTTCTCTTGCTCTTAGTATAATGCATTACATAATAGGTGTAAGAAAAAAATTTAGTCACCTCAGATAAAATTCGTATCATGTGTATGGTAATAAAAAATTACTGTGTCACCCATAATTGCCTTATACTATATTTTAACTTCAAGAAGAATTTTTTGGTATTATTTTTCCATTGCAATGGAACTATCTTTTTTTCTCTTTTAAGACTCTTTGTATTGTAGTATTGTTTTTGGCACCTCTGTAACCAGATGATAATGTACTCAAATGTCATGATAGCTTGCATAGTTACTGTAGTTGTAGATTTGGCTCCAGTACCCCTAGAAACATGCACTGAATTGAAAAGAAAAACCGTGCTTCCTTTTGTCCAGGGCTTATTCTATTCAACTTAGAATCTGAAAGCTGTATAAAATTATAGGAGTTTCATTTAAATATAAGTTCAAACTGTATTTATAACTTGTATGTGGCCCTCTGTTTTGAGGATATTGACTTCATGTAGGCTCTAAATGCAGCATTATGTTCCTAATGTTAAGAACAGAAGACTGTATTTTTAAAGCTACAGATTTGTATATAGAACTAAGACATCGTTGTAATGTCTCTATAACCTGTTGTGGGGAGCAGGGAAAAAAAGAGGAACCAATTAAATAGGACCTTCTAAAAATTGTTAATTTTGTAAACTGCTTCTTTTAAGTTATTGTGGTTCCTTTTAGTTACTGAGTTTTATTTTGAAGATATTTAAATATTGCACTTGTACAAATAGTATAATAAATGCACAGACTATTGCTGTAAATTCTTTTTTTAAGCTGGGATATTTGAAATGACAACTTTTGGTTGAGTATGTCAAGGTTGCATCAGAATTTTCAGAAATTTACTGTGGTTTGCAAATTCTTACTAATTGAAGATGTAAGGGAGTCAATGCAAATGATTTTTAATCTTTTTTTATTATCTTTTCAGCAATTTATATTTTTTGTGATTTTATGCAACCATATTTTTACTTTGTCTTGACAACTGAAAGATGTATAAGGTTTTTGCCAGAAATGTACTGTATACATAGTTTTAAATATAACAGATTTTACTGATATGTAAAATTTTTGCCATTAAAATAAATGATTTCTCACTGAGAGGAACTTTTCTACCAGGTTGGGGGATATGGGAGCTTAATATATCATATCTAATTTAAAATAATTTCACTGAAATAAACTCCATTGCTTTTACTTTGATTATATTTTTTCTTTGGATGGTTCTGTAGTTTTTCAGAGTTTTAAATGATTTTGTACAAAACGTCCTGCCCTCTCACCCTGCCCCCCCCCTACTTTTTGACCTTGTAGTGATACCATTCACACTGAATTAATGACTGGTGGACTATGGGTGGATGTAGAACTCCATGAACCTTTGGAATGAAAGAAAAAAAATGTATTTAAATCTTTTCCCTTTAACTCCTTCCATCTCCCCCATCCACAACAGAAATCATATTTTCATCGTGAGTTCTCTTCACTAGACGAATGAAAGTCCACATAAAACATAACTATAAATTGGTAGTATGGTAGAAATCAATCTTTGTGGTACAATATTTCTGAGACTTGTTCATGTATGTCTTGACCAGAGTATATTTAAGGATACAATTTCAAATACTTTGATTTGGAAAACGGATAATAAAGAAAAACATCATTTTTCATCGGCTTACAATGTGCTTAACTTTTTTAACTTCTGGGAAAACTACATGGAAAAAAAAGAGGCACTTGTTATGGCTGACCATCTGCACTTTTTAAACAATGTGCCTAAAGTATAGTGCTTGAACAAATTTTAGCACTTGAACGTGGTGATTTTTGCCTCATCTAAATTAGTGAGTTTTTGTTTCATCTAAAAATTAACCACCTGAACAAAATATTAAGTTATATACAATAAAATTCAGAGCAATTATCTTTGGCCGCTAACATTAGATTTGGTTAGAATTCCACTCCTGTTAGAATTCAATCAGTATGAAATCTTATACGGCGTTGTTGGCAGGGCTTGTGTTAGATTGCTGACATTCTGAATCCTTAAAATAGCTTGATAATTTTAACAGAACACAGTACTAGACTGTCATGAACAGCACATAGATTGTTCTTTTAGGGAACTTAATTACTCTTAAGTAACCTGACTGAACAAAATTGTACAAGAAATTCTCTTGTCTGAAAAATAGTTATTGAACTGTTCTATTTATTGTAAACAAATGGGCTGTTCTATTTATTGTGGATGATAATAAACGTTAACTATGACAAATGTAGAGGATTTCTAGCAACTTGGAAGATGATCATGTTGTCTATACAGACATCATGGGAAATTATTAAATATATAAATAGATGCATTATGATCACAGACCAAAGTAAGTAGGAAAGTGGTGGGTGAAGTGTGAAAACTTAGTGTTGGAGGTCGCCTTTACTAGGGTAGAGTGGGTCAAGATTAAGTTATTTGAGAGATTTAGGAAAGACTCCTTTTAGAAAGGGGTACAGCTTCGAGCACCGTTTAATTATTTTACTCTGCAAACTATATCCCCTCATAAGGCAACTATGAACCAAGAAGCACTATGAATGTGACCATAAGGCATAAATCCTGCTCTGAATGCCTTGTTAGGGAGATATATATATTTTAAAGAGTTTTATAGAGGTATAACATATACAGAAAAGTGCACAAATCATAAAATATTTGGCTTGCTGTATTTTCAGTGTTTTAGGTTTGCAATGAACATGGCCATGTAAACCTCTAACCCAGATGAAGTAACATTGCCACCACCTTAGTAGTGTCTTTTTTATTAATATCAGAAGTGATATAATATCAGAAGTGGTATACTATCACTTCTGCCCTATCCTACAGGCCACACAGAACAATCCTGGTATGATGTAGGAAGGAACTACACAAGAGTATGAATGCCAGAATTAGAGATCATAGGTGGCTATCTTGGAGGTTGGCTACCATAATTGCGTATTGCTCATTTTGAAAAAACTGGTTCACTTCCACAGTTCTTACCAATGTTGAAACATTTAATCCAACAATATAAATAAAAATCGCATCTGATAACCACCACTGATCTCACTGGAAAAATCTGAAAGTACTGGGAAGCTGGCAAGCTCACTGTGGCAAATACATGTTTTCCAGAATGATGATTTTTGCTTAAATTCTTGAATTTTATCATTGGTAACTGTCGATTGTTTCCCTTGATGTAACAGGCTCCCTTTGTTCATTTTCACGAAAAGGCCTGTCAGACCCAAGCCTGAAAACCGGCAGGGGTGTCAGCCCTTCTAAGTAAAAAGTGTATTCCACAAAAAAAGCATCTACTTCAGTTTATAAAGCAATTTCACGAGTGCTTTTATCTTGAGACATCATACTTCAATATACAGCAAAAGTACTTTGTACCTCCCATTTTTGTCACACAATATTAAAAAAAAAATGTGTGTACTCAAGGGTCATTTTAATAAAATAATTTTTACTGCTTCTTCAAGGACATTGAGGGACTGCCTCTTCTTTTTCTTACAATGAGTGTGTACAGTGGTGGAGAATACAATGACTACTAGTACAGCTTGGCAGCATTGTCCTGATTCGGGCTGAGGTGCCAGTGGTTTTAGCCACCATTGCTTTTGCACTCTCAGCGCAAATGTCAACATTGTGAAAAAGGTAAATGACGTCTTCATGTTAGTATGAAAATAGGGATAGTTTTGACTTTAAAAGGATCTTGACGACCCTCAGGTCTGAGGATCACCTTTGGAGAATCCTTGCTTCCTATCAGTGGTTCTCAATGGGGTAGGGGTGGGGGGTCCATCTTTTTCCCAGGGACATTTTCTCATGTCTGGAGACATTTTTGCTTGTCACAGCTGGTGGGGTGGGAGTGGATGCTAATGGCATCCAGTGGGTAGAGCCCAGGGATGCCGCTAAACACTCTGCCCTGCACAGGAGAGGCCCCCTTCTCCCAAGAAAGAATCATCCCGTTGGAAAAGCTACAGCCTTGAGGTTGAGAAAACTGGTCTACAAAAATGATCCACAGCGACATTAAGAAATCAAAACGATCTTAATTTATCAATTTCCTAAACACTTCCCCGTATTACATGTCCCCACTTTTTTAAAATTTTCAAGACAGCTACTTTCGGGCCATAATTCTTTCTTCTTTAGAGAAATTGAGTCCAACTTTTTGCGGGTTTTTTTCCCCAACGGTTGAGCCACGGCCGTACCCTTTTTCACTCGGGTTTGCCTCTGTCTTCAGCGTCTGGACGACCTCATCAACTAGGTTGTAAACTCCTTTAGGGAGAGTCGTGAGTCAATGCTCTGGATTCCCCCCAAATCGTTTTCCCGGGCCTCTTCTCCTTTACCTGCTGACTGGATGGACCTCGTGGTTCCGCCAGGGCTGTCCTCTCCGCGCGCACTCAGCCGGCGCAGCCGCAGTTTCCCGCACTTCCGAGTTGTGGGCGCCCACGCGCCGACGCTCTCGTCTGCCACTAGAGGGCGCTCCCGGCCCGGGCGGCCCGGACTACCAGCCTCGGAGGGTAATAATGGGGTGGGGGCGGCCGCAGTGACTTCTGGGATTTGTGGTCCCGGGGAAAGGATTGCGGAAGAGAAAAGCGCTGAGTCGCCTCTTCCCTGCCAGCTTCTCTGGACTGTTCGCACGCCCCAGATCGGGCAACCCCTATCTTGGGACACCCTGCACCTACTGCAAGCAGGTAGGAGGTCGGGCGTGGTAATTTCCGTTTCCGGTGGGCAAAGGGCAAGCGGAATGTAAACACGGGACCCGAGGAGTGGTCATCAGGTAACAGGGGTTACGGGTCTGTGGTGGAAGCGGGAGGAAGTTGAGGAAAGCGAGGCTGGTGGGTCTTGGGGTAACGGGAGAAAGGAGCTTCAGAAGTCGGAGTTGAGGCCCACCGCGGGTGTGGCAGAGCCTGGACGCTAAGGTTGGTCTCTAGGGACCAGCAAGTCTGGGGATCGGGCCCTCCCTGGCACCCGCGCCCGGGGCGGCTTCCGAGGCGGGCGGTGCGGCTTTGACCCGTCCTGAGAGGCGGGAGGAGCGGAAGCGAGCTGGCTTTGCCCCCAGCGTGGCAGGGGTCCGCGGCCGCGGGCGGGGCTGTGAACTCGCGGGTGACGTCCTGAGCAGCCTTTATGAACTTCGCTCTTCTTTACTGTTGTGCAAAATGAGGGGAAATCGCTAATGCTGTTTTCTCCTGTGCGGTAACATTTTCGGGTAAATCGGTTCTTGAATTCCTCACCTCTGACTACATCCCTATACCCGGAAGGATGCTGTTTTCATTACCTGTTTGTGTTCATCAGGTTTCTCGTCTTGGGTGCTGCATTTTACGTCTCAGTGAAGAGAAGCATTCTCTAGCTTGTGGCAGGGTATAATGTCTGTATTATTAGTTGCCACACTTCTTGGTCTCTCACATTGCCAACTTGGAAACTTGAAGCCACGAAACTTAATCATCCTCACCCTTGTCTCCTTTAGGGACAGTCATAAATACAAGACTTCTTTCATATCTTGACTTATTCTGTTATCTCGTGAGACCTTCCTAACGATTCATTCTCTCATGTTGTTCTCTTTCTGGGCCTCCGGACTTGTGTTCCTTAGTAACAACACTTACATTTTCAGCCATTTCTTGGTTCTTTCCCTAAGTTACTTGCAGTCATCTTTAAACAGAGGAAACTCATTCTTCTTTATTATAATGGGTCTGGGGAGAGAGTTTGGCATTGTCCTGATTCCCTAGTATAGCTTATAATCCCTTACTCCTACAGGCTTTTCTAGAAATCTCTGCTCCTGTGGAAAGCATGTGGTTACCCGTATCAACCTGTACATTTCTTGATTGCTGTAATTTATTGGCACTTTGTCATATTCATTAAGAACTTAGGTACATGACCCACAATTTTCTTACCCCTCCAAAATCTGCCATTATCTTGGGCCTTTCCATGTTGGTGACCTCATAGCCAACCTCAGTTTTTTTGTCTCCTTCATTCTAGTGGTTACTTATACTTTACTGCAGCATGTGTATCAGTGATAAAGATCTTAATATCTGCTAGAACTTACTTGCTATTTCATTTCTCTCCCTCCCTTACTCCCACAATGCCCATTCTTTGATAGTTTTATGGAGACCTCTGCTTCATTGCTTTTCCTTATCTCGATAGTTGATCAGTCAGTTGATCATAATCTTCTTGGGGTTATAGGCTCCTTTAAGAATGGAATGAAAGCTTAGAGACTCTTGTGCAGATTGCACACAAGCATATAAAAATGTATATAGAATTCCAAGGGTTTCTCAGTATCTTTAAACCCATCCATGTAACTAGCAAGAGCTCTCGATCCCTCAGCAAATCCCTTCTCTAAATAAATATTTGTTCAATTCTTCCAGGGTTTCCTTTAACTTTGTTCCATCAGTTATGCTGTCTCGCTTAGCCCTTATATTTGTATATTATTGAAGATTTACAAAATAGTTTAACATTTCTTATCATTCTGATTAACCCTATAGTTCTGTGAATTAAGTCATTTCCTAAGTTTGAATCTTTCAGAAACTTTTTATGGAAAATTTCAAACATATATGAAAGGAGAGAGGAAAGTACAGAGAATCCTGTGTACTCACCACCTAACCTCATCGCTTATCAACTCAAAAGCAATCTTTTTATCTATATCTCTCTTCTATTGCACTCCCCACTCCCGCTGATTACTTTGAAGCAAT